TTTCCCCTCCTCCTGGGAGCTGTTGTTTTCCCTTCCTCATTGCTGGGCTGATGAGGTTAATGTTAAATAATGTTAAATACAGTGGGAAGGAAGAAGTTTGCTCCTGAAACTCTTCAAAGACCAAGGAATCTCCAAGCTGAGCCAACCCTTCAGCAGCAAACAGAACCTCAGGTCCTGTGGATGAGGAAACAAATGGTGCAGGCCAGGGATGAAAATAGATTTTTGGTGAAAATTAATCCATCCCAGATGGGAAATGGGGGAGGCTCGGATTGGAAGAGCAAAAAATTGGTGCCCACCTTGCAAGAAAAGCCAGACAGGGATGCAAAAAGGTGTATGACAACTCCATGTACCAGCTGAATTAAAACCTCATCATTTCCTACCCTGTCTTTTTTTTTTGCACCAGCCCCCCTCTGAGCAAATGGCTCTGTGAGATTCCCTTCCCAATCTCTCAAGCTATTTGTAAAGCTGATATCTCTTCTAACAGGTAGCATGGGAAACAACCCAGCAGAAACAGGTCATATTTTCTCCACCATTGTGACCACTCTCATTTTTTTCACAGTATGTAAAAGGTGACCTGGAATATATTGAAGTGTACAGAAGATTCACATGAGGGTTTTTCTGGGACACAAAAGAAGCCTGAGGACTTATAACCCTTTTTTTTTCCCCCAACAGGGAGGGCACAGATGACTGTTTTCCGATTTTTGTGCCTGAAGATTCTGAAGAATGCCTGTTCGACTCAATTTTTTTAATCCCAACTTAAAAAAACATTAGAGAAATCAGGTTAAAAATTACTTGCTTTCTCACTTGATCATATTTTCAACAGCACATTTTGTCCCAGCCCAGCCAAGAGCTACAGCCCTGCCATTCCTGGGACTGAGGATGGAATTTGAAGTGTGAGAATAACCAGGTAAGACAACATCAGAAAAAGAGCAGGAAAATCCTGAAGCTCTTTTTCTTTGCTTTGCAGTCCATTTTGCAGAAGGATTGTTCCAAGCCCCGTCCAACCTGGCCTTGGACACTTCCAGGGATGGGGCAGCCACAGCTTCTCTGGGCAACCTGTGCCAGGGCCTCCCCACCCTCACAGGAAGAATTCCTTCCCAATATCCCATCTAACCCTGCCCTCTGGCAGTGGGAAACCATTTCCCCTTGGCCTGTCCCTCCAGTCCTTGTCCAAAGTCCCTCTCCAGCTCTCTTGGAGCCCCTTTAGGCACTGAAAGGGGCTCTCAGGTCTCCCCAGAGCCTTCTCTTCTCAGCCAAAGGGGACCCCACGGCATGTCAGTGATGTTCAACTGCCCAGGTCAATCGTTCCTCAGTGAAACCTTTGATTAATGGATGCTCATGAACCAAAGGGTGACTTCAGTCGTGTATTTGGGGATGGATGGGAGCCAGAGGGACTAAAAGGGTCCCAAAACCAGGGTCCTGAAACCAGAGTGGAGGCTGTAAATAGGATGATGCCAACAGCCTGCACATGGAAGGGTTTGCCTGGCACCACTTGCAACACGCAGAGGGATTGTTAGCCCTAAAGTGATGCAGGGAGCCCCCAAATCCACATGTACAGCACAGGAAACAGGTAGAGGGTATTATTTTCCATGAGGTGTTAAACCACAACTCCCTGACAGAAGGGTGGAGCCAGATGGGGGTTGGTCTCTTCCACCGGGTAACAAGCAACAGGATGAGAGAAAATGGCCTCAGGTTGTACCAGATAAGGTTTTTAGGTTGGATATTAGGGAAAATTTATTCATAGAAAGGGTGGTCAGGATTGGAATAGGCTGCCCAGGGCAGTGGTGGAATCCCCATCCCTGGAGGGATTTAAAAGGATGTGGCACCTGGGGGCACAGTTTAGTGGTGGCCTTGGGGGAACAGTGGGACTTGATGATCTTTGAGGGCTTTTCCAACCTTAACAATTCTGTGATTCTAGAAAATACCAGCTGTTGATTCTGTCATACCCAGCCGTGTTTCACAGCAAACACTGGGCTGTGAACGCTCAGGCTGCAAAGTGGGGTCACCACCTTCTGCTAGAAACCAGCCTGTTAGTGCTGCTGGATGTCTGCACACCCTTGGATGGTGTTACCAGCCCCAACTGGGTTCTTCCTACACCTCTGCCAGGACCCCTGCAGCAGTTGTGGCTTCCTACAGCCCTAAAGAAGAGAAATTTCACCTAAATTAAATTCAAGGTTTGGATGGAGACAAGGCACTGCTGATGTGCAGGGAAGATATGACCACCTGCACCCACAGCCTGCAGTGTCAGCTGATGGCTCACCCACTGCCACAGAAACTTGCACCAAAATTCCCAGTTTTCTTTCCTTTCCAGCAAAATTTCCACTTTTGCAGCGATAAAGCAGGGCAAAAAAACCCATCTCTCAAGTGTGGGATGAGGAATGGGGAGCTTTTTCCATGGAGGGTTTATGTGTCTAGGGAATAAGCAGAGGTGTGGGTTGCTAGAGATGGGAAGGGGACAGGGAGAAAGGTTTATTTTTCATGGATGTGGTCTGAGATCCTACCCTGGTTTGTATGGATGCAGTTTGCTCCTCTCTGGGTCCCTGTTTAGTTCAAAGCTACATCCAACACACTTCCACATTTGTGCCACCTAACATTATAAACCTAATTAATATTTCTATATTATAAAGTGCCGGTGTAGTGTTTATCTCAGCTCTTCAATTTATTTAATTTCTTTTACAGCTTTGGCTTTCCCCCACATATTTCATCCCACCTGCTGGTCAACATAACCCAGGAGCAGAGCAGGGGAATGTTTCCTTCCTTCTTTGATGCCCCTGAACAAGTTTTCGGAGGTCTGATACACTCTAGAAGTAGTGAATTATTCAAGGTTTGCAATCTCATGGCTTTCCAGCATAAGAAACCCAGTCTCTAATCACATCTCATATTTTCTAATGTAACCACTTCATTTCAATATTGATTCTTCCACAATTTATTGCTGTTTCCTTGCTTTTGATTACTGTTTCAATCAGGTGGATGGGCACTGCTCAGTACAGAGTCCATGTCTGTGTGTCTCACAACTACAGGCAGTTAGAACTGAAAAACTGGATTGCTCTGAAAATGTCCTGAGACACCCACAGATCAGCCTGACATCCAGATTATTTTCAACTTCTTCCACCCTGAGGTGACCCTGTCGGGAAGAGCTGCAGGTGCTTCATCCAGTGTTTCTGCAGAGCCTCGTGGTCACAGCTCCTGTTCCTCTGTCTGTCTGTCATCACCACTGCCAGCACAGAAGCTGTCAAGCTGTTCTTATTTGGAGCACCAACATGAAAACTGCCCTGGGTTATGTCTGTAGGGGCAAAGCTGGGACACTGAGAGCCTTGAAGAAGTTTGTTATGGAGCTGCTGACAGGATCAGTTGGCATCAGTTGTGGGTAAGAGCTGAGAGGTCACAGAAAGACGTGTTGGTTGGCCTTGGGATATTGTTTTCTGTGGGTATTTCTGCCCACCAGCAAGAGCAGTGCTTCTGTGTGTCTCTTGGAGAACCCCAGGGATGCTCCTGCCCCTTCCCTGGTGGGCCAGAGTCGTGTAAGCACCTTCTGGGTGACTCCACCACCTCCCTGGGCAGCCTATTCCAATATCTAATCACCTTTCTGGTAAGAAATTTCTCCTAATGGCCAACCTAAACCTCCCCTGGCACAGCTTAAGACTGTGTCCTCCTGCTCTTTCTCTGGTTACCTGGGATAAGAGGCCAACCCCCACCTAGCTATCCCCTCCTGGCACAATATAGACAGTAATAGAACAAAAGATAATTTGAAGAAGTAGTCAATAAAACATTTCCAATATTGGTATTCCCGCTTCTTCCTATAAAAAGATACATGACCGTTTTAACTGACTTTAATTCTAAAGAACTTGAAGAGTTCTGAGTCAAGGATGAGGCAGAGCAGCACTCAGCTTGAGTGTTGGTGTGAGCAAAGCCATGTCCTGCCCCACTGCTCATGGCAGAGGGAAACCTGGGAGAGAAATGGAGGCCTGAAGGTAGCAACCTGAGAGAATATACATTGAACATTGTAGCAGGGTGAGGAATTTTGTGTTTTGTGTTTATGGCCTGTGTGTGACAGTGGGAAACACACCCATGAGGATCTTGGATGCTGTTAGTTGACCTTCCTGCAGCTATTTTTTCATCTCCTTCTGAAAATCAGTATTTCACAGCCTTGACTGAGCCAGCTAAATTTTGCTCCTTATCCAAACTGGCCGAAGAGGTGTCTTCAGGACTCCACAGAAGCAATTCCAGCCAGAGAAGTGTCTCAGGTCTCACACTTTTTACGGTTTGTACACAAACCCATGGTGTGCCTTCCAGATTCCGGATACTCCAGTCTGCAGGAGGAGTTAGGGATTTATTTTCCACTCTCATACACGCTTGTTTTGTTTGATTTTTGCCGCACAAACGCCGGGCTCCTGCACTTGGAGAGATCCTTCTTCTCCCATGCGGAGCATGTGGAAGGCAGATGCACTGACTCCAACAGGACCGAGATATTGCGGGGCTGGAGCGTGTCCAGGGAAGGGAAGGGAGCTGGGGAAGGGGCTGGAGCAGCAGGAGGGGCTGAGGGAGCTGGGGGGGCTCAGCCTGGAGAAAAGGAGGCTCAGGGGGGACCTTCTGGCTCTGCAACCCCCTGACAGGAGGGGGGAGCTGGGGGGGGTCGGGCTCTGCTCCCAGGGAACGAGGGACAGGATGAGAGAGAACAGCCTCCAGCTGTGCCAGGGGAGGTGTAGTTTGGCCATCAGGAGGAATTCCTTCCCAGAAAGGGTGATCAGATATCGGAATGTGCTGCCCAGGGAGCTGGTGGAGGCAGCGTCTCCGGAGGCGTTGAAGGAAAGACTGGACACGGCACTTGGTGCCACGGTCTGCTTGACATGTTGGTGACGGGCCGTCGGTTGGAATCGGTGATGTCAGAAGGCAGGGAGGTCTTTTCCACCTGAACGATTCCGGCATTCCGTGACTCCGGGGCCGACCCGCCGCGCTTTCGCTTCCCGCGGGGTTTGGCCCCGCCGCGCCGCCGTAGCCGCGTTGCCCCGGAGCCGCGTTGGCCGCGGGTCCCGGCCCGGCGATGTCGTTCCGCGACCTCCGCAGTGAGAGCGGCCGAGGGGCCGGGATGGGCAGGACCGGGCACCCCCGCCACGGCCCCAGCGGGCCCCGCGGCTCCTCCGGGCCGCACACGGAGCTGCCGGCGGGCGGGAGGGTCGGGGTGCCCCGGGGAGGGGGGGCTGAGCCTTCTCTGGGAGGGTCCCCGCTGAGGGGGGGAAGCACAGCCCTGCACTGGGGGGGCCCCCTAGCCCGTCCTTTAAAGTGTGTTTGTAAAGACAAGCAGTTCAGCATCGTTTCAGCCCGGTGAATCTCGTTAAAAACTCACCTTTTTTCACTCAGCCGTGTTTTCTGTTGAAATTATATTATTTAATTATTCACGTTTATTTTTTGAGCAGTGCTTTTCACGGGGCAGATCTCACGGGAACCGAGCAGCACGCTGTGGGAGATGGAGCTCCTGGCAAAGCCCCAGTCTGATATTTAGAAGGAATCCCTTGCTTGTTTTTCAGATTTTACCGAGATGATGAGGGCGCTGGGGTATCCCCGACTCATATCCATGGAGAATTTCCACACCCCAAACTTCATGCTTGTGTCAGAAGTGCTCCTGTGGCTGGTGAAAAGGTTGGTGATGAGGCCAACAGATGCTGGGGCTGATGCTGGGATGTGGAGGGTGGCCTTGGAGCTGATGGTTTGGTGTGAAATATAATGACATTTAGTCATTCTTTGAGCTCTGCTCTTCTAAATAGCAGGTAGAAGTGTGGTAGTTAGCAGGTTTTTAGTTTAATTGTAGCGCCTGGAGTAGAAGATCCAATGACTCAGTGCTGGTTTCACCCAGAAAGTGGGAGCACTGATTCAAAAGTGTCTCTCTCCTGTATTCTTCAGACTCCATCACCACCCTGCCCATGTACCCAAACAGGGTAATCTGTAGTGAGAACTTCCCAAGATACAGCCAGTTCTTGCCTTTTTGCTACAACTGTTGGTTGAGACTGGTATTGTCCCACATCCACAACATGTTTAAAAGAAATAAAATGATTCCATCCTAATCTACTACTGTCCACTTGTAGTTTTACACCCACTTAACCCATTAACAGACTTCAGCTAAATACTTCTGAATCTTGACATGTTAATCAAATTATACATTATTTTCTCTCCCCCGCTATTTTTTTTAAAGCTCCTCAAAAGGTAGAATATTGCAATTGAAAACACAACAGTGACACAACCCTTTGCCTGATTGCTGTTTTTTGGCCTGGATTCGTCCTACTCATTAGTATCCATTAAGTTTAATTAGCAAGCTGTTTGAAATTTGCTGAATACTCTTGTAACAAAATAGGGAAATATTTAGAACCATTCAAAATTACTCGCATTAAGTTACCTAAATAGCCTTTAAAATGCTGATGTTACCCTGAGGGTCCAAATTCTGAATTTGCTTTTATTCCTCCCTTGTTCCTTTAGGCTGGCGACTTCTAGAAGTTTCTGCATTTCACTCGTGGTCTTTTTAAGGCATTTTACAGTCTTTCAGTTTGCTTTTCTGCGAGTTTTGTTTGCGAAAGTAACGTGTTTGAAATGATGTCTGAGTATGAACCTGGGTAGTGTGTCAGGTTTTACAGATTTTGTGTCAGGTTTTACAGATTTTGCAGTTTGTACACACGCCCCCCGTGTGCATCCCTGGGTCCCCATTCTGCAGCAGGAACTAAACATTTGTTTGCCAGTCTTGTCCATGCTTGTTTTGTTTGATTTTTGCCTCACAAATGGACCAGTCTCATTGATATTGCACGTGTATTTCTTGTCAGAATCTATACCCCCTTCTTTCTGTAGGTATGAACCTCAGACTGATATTCCTGCTGATGTGGAGACAGAACAAGACCGGGTTTTCTTCATCAAGGCCGTAGCTCAGTTCATGGTGAGTCTGCTCAGGAACAGCCTGAAATCCTAAAAATATGAATATCTGAAGTCCTGGTTCCATGTCAGCTTTAGTGCTTTCCCTCTTAACCCCTTACACTTTCCCTGCAAAGCTAGAAAAATATCCTTATCCCTTGCTATTTATAAAAAGGTAGCAGAAGAACAGGAAATGTTTTGAAGCCATTTAAAGTGTTTTAGAAGAGATACCATCCTATTTTTTGCCAACTTTGGGTGCCTGATTCTTTTTTGTGCTTGAATAGTCATAACCTCTGGTACCTTCATTGTGATATAGAATCATGTATTGGTATATGTCCTATGAGCCTTCTCAGGGATCAAAGCACATGTTTTTCTCAGCTCAAACCTTTTATGCATGAATTATGCTTGAATTGGGCCATCAAATTTTTTAGTCTCAGGGAGTAAAATAACATTGTTCTTCATCTAATTCATGTTATTTTGGTGCAGCGTGAGCCTTTGCTGTTATCATCCACTTAGATAACATTCTTAATTATATAAAAAGAACTTACTGGGGTTGCAGGTGAAGCAATGGAAGTCTTTATGCTAATACCTGAGATTCATTATAATACTTAGATTTTTTTAAAATACAGTAAGATTACATTGTAACCATATTTTCCTTCTCATTTGTGAAGTGTGTGCACCATAAATGCTCTTAATTCTTAATTTTGTTATATTCAGAGCATGGTACTTTCCTGTATATATCAGAATGCACTTTTTGAGGCCTGGAGCACCATCAGATCTATTTTGTTTGGAATTATAGGAAAATTCAAGTCAAGGACATTTAACAAGGGACAAGTATGGACTCAGAAATAATGTCATGCATGCATTTGCCTTTTAATAGCTGATTTAATGCAAGAAATCCCAAGGGTTTTGAAGAATTACATATTATGGTTCAGAAAATGAAACTAATGGAAATTTCTTTAATCATGCTGCACTTAGTCTCAGTTAATTTTACAAGTTAATGGGGGGGTTATTGTAGGTTTTCAGCATTTTCAGGTTGAGAAAAGCTTTTAATCATTTCTTTCATAATTCACTGCCCATGGAATTCAGAGTTATCTTCCCCAGGAGTTAATGGCTTTATGCATCTGGAGGCAGATGTGAGATTTGACGGAGACAGATTTGTCTGAGAAGAGAATACCAGGGTAGATTCATCATCGTGAAGTACAGCTGGGGCTTTGCTCTCCTTTGCTGAACAAGACCCAAAGAGGTGTTAATTTTCCACACAAATTAGGTATTGCTCTGTGTTCACGGTGGGAACTTACCCAATGTCTCCTTTCCAGAGCCAAAAGTTCCTGAAGTGTCTGCAGGGTTGTCCTAGGTGGGTTTTTAATCATTTCCCCAGCATTAGTTAGTGGGGCTCAGTACTTGGCTCCTGCTCAAGCCCCCTGGGATCCAAATTTGAAGTAGAGTGCAACAAAAAGCCACTGATGAGTTTATCCCATGGAGATACATCCGTGAAAACGTACTTAGCAAACCAAGGTACCAAATTTCTTTTGGAAGAGTCAGGCATCACAGTCAGAATTTGGCTCTCTGATAATAATAAACAGCTTGTAAAGGTAAGAGAAATTCTGGCTGTTGATGCCATTCTTGCTCTGTGTTTATATTTTCTATTGCATTTTAATAATCTGATCATCAGAACAAGTAGAGGTGAATTTTCATTATTCTTTCAAACTAGAGTTGTTATAAAAAAGGTGAGTGTTTCGAGCTTTCCAAATATGAAGTTACCTTCTTGACTAAGCAGTGCCACTGTGCCAGTCTGAAAAATATACATACTTGGCCATGTATTTTTTTCTCTTTTTATTTTTTAAGTAGTGTTTGAGTGAAAAACCATTTTTTTCCCTCTTACTAGACATCGATTTTTCTGTCTTGGGAGAGCTGAATTTCGAGTGGAGCTGAAATCAGAATTTCTGCCTTTAACAACGTCCTTCATGATTTAGGGCATCAGTTATGTTTGCACGGGGGATGTGTAGTAGAGTATGTCAATTTAATGGCACATTTCTCTTAAAATTTAATACCTGTTGTTTCTACCATGAGTTTTTTAGATTTCTCCTGCTGAAAGGGAAGGCAGTTGAACACACCTGGCTTTCCACTTTGTATGTTGGCTCATTTGAGGTCATTCTGATCAAAAATTTCAATTAGGTATCTTTGTCCTGTGAGTCTTATATTCCCCCAGCTGGGGGTGTACAACATCAGTAGCCTGTTCTGGAAGTTTGGACTTCAGTTTTCAGGAATCTCAGAATCACAGAAGATCTTGAGTTGGAACCTTGAGCTCTGGCAGCCTTGGGGCCGTGACCCCTGCCCTGGGGAGCCTGTCCAGTGCCCAACTACCCTCTGTTTTTATCTCTGGCACAGCTCCAGCCGTTCCCTCAGGTCCTTTGAAAAGCTGGAGCTAAATCCATGGTTTGAGATGTGGCCCTTTCTCTCTTTATTTTCACAGGAATTCTTTCCTGCAGCCCATTATTCAGTGAAGCTCAGTGCAGAACCTTGTGAGGTGAAGCTCATGGGCAAAACTTGTGCCAAATATTGTAATATTTGAGTCTCTCACCCCCAGGTTGAAGGTTCTGGTCTGTCAGAGCCCAAGGGGAGTGTGAATTACTTCCAGAAACACTGTAATACCAAAGCTGTATAATCTAACCCATGATTAGATTCATTCTGCCACTGAGTGGGATATTCCACAGGATAAACATTTTACCAGAACTTTAATCTTAAAAACACGCCGAAAAGAAGATGGTAAGTCATTTTTTGCTTAATGTGTCATTTTTAAGCTTAATTTTTGTATTTGTAACTGGTGATCAGCTTTTTGTTTGCTTCCTTTTTTAATTATGCCACCAGGAAGGCTCCCTGAAATTTGTGTTGGCTCCTTGTGACCATTTATAATATAAATTAGTCAGGAATTTCAAGAGCAACATTTGTGTCCTTTCTGTGACAGATGCTCTTTTTTCCCCTTTATTATTTTGAAATATAAAAAAATAAGATTGTAACTTTTAATGTTTTTTTTCCATACTGGTCTATCTGTACTTTTCAGAGATGGAAGACAAGGGGATAAAATTACCCATATCATAGCAGGGAAAAATTTGAGAGAAGCAATACAATATTTTGAAGGTGCTGCTGGAAGAGAAGACAGTTAAATTAGGATAATTGATCTTATTCTTGCAACTCATCAGGGGTGAGATTTGCCTCTCTACAGCATCATCACAAGACCTGGGCAGCACTTACTTTCCACTTACACTCAATTTGAGTTTAAGTGGTGCACAGGTTTTTCGCTTCTCTTAGTGCAGGGAAGAAATAATGGCTGGTTTGAGGTTTTTTCTGCAGCTGTTCTGACGTGCAGGAAGGGCACAGGTTTCAGAAAAATTCTCTTCTGGAAATATCAGGCCCGTGACGAGGCAGACTGGTGTGTCCAAACAGGGGGGGTTGTTTCTGCACCTCCGGGGGCGATGACCCCGCAGAGAGCTTTGGGGTGAAGAGGTAAACGAGGGGTTTGTTCCTGCCAATGATGAATTCGCTCTCTCCTCCCCAAAGGCTACCAAAGCTCACCTCAAGCTCAACACCAAGAAGCTGTACCAGGCCGATGGGTACGCGGTGAAGGAGCTGCTGAAGGTCACCTCTGTGCTCTACGGGGCCATGCACACCCAGGGGGGGCAGCGGGCAGACCTCAGGGAGGAGGACTCTGCCAAGTTCAAGTTGGATCTGGGCTCAAAGGTAAGGAAACCTGTACTTACTCCTGTTCTGGGCAGGGAAAAACAAACCCATTTTCTAGCTGAAACTTCAGCGGGGCATGTTCTGGAAGGTGTGGTTCGAGCTCAGTTTCAGTAGTTGAGGTTTTGGGATTTTATGATTTGAATTCTCAACCAGAAGCATAATACAATGCAACAGTGGCACAGAATTTATCCTGTTTGGTTTCCACTGCTGTTGAAATCATAGAAATGTTGGAGTAGGCCGGAATAAAGAGTATTTTCTCCCTACTAACCTTGTTGCAGCAAGAGGAGCTTGCAAAATACTGGCTGCAAATTAGTTTTGAGCCCATTTGCATTGAAGGAAAGGGAAATCTTCATGTTACCCTAACAGACATCAATGCTGTTCAAGCCCTCAAAATAAATGCCATTTATAGATATTTAAGAAACAGCCTCTCTAGATATTAAAAACAACCCAACACTTTGTTAAATAAGAGGAATTCTTGTGACTGTTTTCTGTTAGCTTTGGCACCTCTTTTATAGTCTAATGTATTTAGGTTTTGATTTTTTTGTAGCTGTACTATGTCATGCTTGCCTGTTAGGAAGGAATTCTTTGCTCAGAGGGTGGGGAGGCCCTGGCACAGGTTGCCCAGAGAAGCTGTGGCTGCCCCTGGATCCCTGGAAGTGTCCAAGGCCAGGTTGGACGGGGCTTGGAGCAACCTGGGCCAGTGGAAGGTGTCCCTGCCCATGGCAGGGGGTGGAACGAGATGAACGTTAAGGTCCCTTCCACACAAACTGTTCCATGATTCCGTGATCCTGTGATTCTTGAGAAGATGTCAGACCCTCAGCTGATTCTTCCTCTGTGTAAGTCTGACGTGTCTCTCTGGAAAAATAAACCACTTGTAGATGATCAGTATTCATTACTTATGCTACATGCTGGTCACAGACCTTTTGGTATATAAACTTTTTACTTTTGCATATGAAAAAGGTGATGTTTCCTTTGTCCTGGGCAGCACATGAACCAACAATTGCCTGAGTCACAGTTGTAAGGAGAGTTGTTGGGGTTTTTTTGTTGGCCTGAAGTGGCTGATGTTTCGCCCCAAAACCTGTATCTGACTGGTGCCTCATCTAGATTATTTTAAAGCCAAGAGACTGGTTCACTCAGATTCCACTGCACAACTTCTTCAATACTGTGGAAGTTTTTTGACTTTGGTAAGTGTTGTGGATTTTCTTTGTGATACTGGGAATTCTCTTGCTTTTTTTGACCTTGATAAATGTTGTGGATTTTCTTTGTGATACTGGGAATTCTCTTCTATCCAGTGCTGTTGTTGTGTTCCCAGGTTGCTGACCTGAAGGCAGCTAGACAGCTTGCTTCTGAAATCACCTCCAAAGGAGCAGTTCTGTATGACTTACTTGGCAAAGAAATGGAGCTAAGGGTGAGTACACACTGGAGAGTGTGGAAAAACTTGTGTTCACTGACTGCTGCAAAGGAAAAGGTTAAAAAAATATCAGTGATCCTTAATGGCTGCATCTGCCATGAATATTGGGTGAGTTTGAAGGAATGGGTCTGACAGTTTGCATTTCCTTCCCACTTGTATTCGTGCCTGGATTGCAGAAAGCCTGAGAGAAGGGTTTGGCATTTTCTCTTTAGCAGGAAACTGAAATACTCTCTGTTGAACTGTTTGGAAATACTAACTTCATGTGCACATTGTAGTGGTGGGGAGGGATATATTCATAAAGATAAATGATTAATGCCCTTAGTTTTCCAAGGGTAAGACTCATTATTCCTGGGTCAGTAGCTGAAGGTCTGTAGGGTGGATGTTCTTCAGCTTAGCTGGGAGATCACAAGCTGGTGCATGAAGTCAGGGAAGTGTCCTGAAACACTGCCAATAAATCTTGCAGTTATTTTCTTCAGTGCACTTATCTGCAGTGCTGGGGGTTATTCATTTTCTGAAAATGGACATTTAAAAAAGAGAAACCCTGCCCGTTGTTGGAAATGGTCAGATCTGCAGTATCTGAGCTGCAGGAAGTGCACCCTTTAGAGCTGTGAACTGTGAGCCTCCACTATTAATGCTCCCAGATCCTTGTCTAACGGAGTACAAGTGTTTCAAAGGGTGGGGAATAACACTGGGAAGATTATCCATGGAACGCTGCCTTTTCTGCTGGATCTGTACATGATAATGCCACTGTGTGAAGGACATTAATATTTCAACAGACAGAAGTGATAAGCCAGTTTAATTCAGTGTACACAATTTTCACAAAACTGTTAATCAGTTACTTCTCATCTTGTATTCTTTACTTAATTCTTTAATTTTCACACAAATGCTACATGATGTGTTAGTATTTGCTATGGAGCATTGAACTTTTTTGTTCTGGGTACAGTGTCCTTATAACTCCACTCAAAAGTCAAATATAGGTCAGCATAAGGCATCATTTTTAAAAAAATACTCCAGCATTGGTTTGGAATTGGGCATTGTTTAGCCACTTTAAATCACAGCTTTTAGGAAGCTGCCTTTAGAACTGGGCCCTGGCAAAGGGACAGGCACAAGAGCAGCGTGCTGAAAGGATGGGATGAAAAATCAGGAGATGAGGGAAGTCCTGAAGTGCCGCCACTTTTCACTGGGTGCATTAATGAATCTTCAAAGGTGCCATTTCTAAAAGGATGGTGTTTCTTAGACAGAGCAGTGAGCACGTGTTTCTTGTGGCACAATGGCTGAGTGCACAGGACAGGAACAACTAATCCTGTGCAGGTATTCTGCAGAAAGGTTTGACAGACAGGACTAGTCCTTAAGAAGTCCTGTCCTGGGAAAGATGACCTTTGCTTCTGTGTCATTAGCTCTGAGTGTATCTCCTGAAGGCAAAAGGTGACACAGCGTGGTGAGAACCTCCAGAGAGCAGCAGAAGAGGCTTTCATGCTCTGTTTCTTGTGATTTGTGGCTGGTTCCAACCTTCTTCAGTGATTTGTTAAACCTGAAGGGCCCACTTTGGGCTGGTGTGTTAAGTTATCAAGTTTGGTATATAAGCATGTGACAAATTTGGGACTTGAGCCTGGAAAGAAGCCAACAGTTTTCAAGTAAAAATCCCTGATGCTGCACTAACCAGTTTTTCAATGGAATTTTTCCAGTTTTCCTTCTTTAATTATAAGCCCCCAACTCTGCCTTTCACTTGAAGGGTGAAATTTGCTCCTCACAGGAGAGGCTTGGAGCCCATTGCTGCTGTTTTCTTCCACCACTGTGGGGCCTGGGCTTCTTGTCACAGAGCCAGTGCTGAGGGCAGTGAGGAATTGCCCTTCCACATCTCCTACACCTTCCCTGCATCCTTCATAGGGTTGCTGAGGTGCTCAGAAGATCTCAGGGATGGCATCTTCTACCTGCCCTTCCCACCTGCTTCCAGGTGGGCAGTAGGAGAACTGCAGTTAATTCTGGCTTCGTGTAGGGAATTAGAGCTCTGTTGGCAATATCAAATTAATTGCCATTAATATAAGGTTACTTTTATTCTTTTTTTAATGTGCAGATTATTGATTTCCACTGGTTATTTTCTTTTGGCACTGCATGGCTAATTAATGCTCACAGTAAATGGCACTGGCAGAGGGTTTGTACTGTTAAAGGGGTTTAGAACAGTATGGTTTATTTTTTCATTCCATTTTATCTCCTGGTACCTGTTGCATGGACTAAAATGCATCAACAGCTGTGATAGCATTTAAATGAATTTGAAAACATGGGAGGTTTGTGTTCCCCAAACCTCTTTTTTCTTTCTTTTTCCAATCCATTCATTTCCAGATATTTAAATGAAGGCTCTTCCTACCTAGGCTTGCACAGGCTGGTGATGTATGTTGTTTCTATCCTAAGTGAAGATGGCTTCATTTTCCAGGAACTGTGAAGGAAATGCCAGCATTTGGCACTAATGGGTTGTCTAGGTCTGTTTTTGTAGTCTGAACAGCTTTTGGGGAAGGATCATTGGGGATAAGTGAAGTAAAACTCATTATTTCCTTTAGAAATGTTGACTCTAATTTGTGCAACAACCTTTACCTTCCCTGTTGGAGTCTTTTTGTACATAATTTGTGTAGGAACTGTGTAGAAAGGGTTTATACATTAAATAAATTTCATTGCTTCAAGTCATGAAACACTTTTTTAAAATAAATTACTTTCTGAATGAAAACAGATTTCAGCTAGAGAAGAGTTTAAGGGAATGGTTCTTTCAGATGTATTGGAGATAGATAGTGCTGTAAATGTATGTGCATATTTTTGGGGAAGAGTTTAAGTCTGGTTTTGTTTTCTTGGAAATGTGGTTCTCTGCCTTTCTGATGCCTTTGCAAATACATTATTCCCTGACTGAATAGATAGTTCTTCTGTATGTGCAAACTGCTTCCAAAGTTAATTTATAGTGTAAAAAAAGGACATTTAATTAAGGACAGAGGAAGAAACAAATCCTACAGGTTTTTTTCTGAATTCAGACTATGATGTTAAATTTTTTGGGAAAACAAAAAACAAATCAAACCCCCAAATTATAGTCTTCTCATCAGATGAAAATCACAATATAATTACTGAATTCCATGGGAGCTGTGTGTTTCCAGCCCAGCTGTGAATGAGCACAGTGTAGGTTATTGATGTCTTGTGGCAGTGCAGTGGAGGAAACACAGAATTGTTATTTTAAAATGCATTTAAACCTTACATTTGGAAGGTAATTTTCAGTTTCCAGTCTTGCTGGTCCAGGTCTTGGAGCACAGAAGTTGCAGGTAGGATTGGTAGGGTGTAGTGGAGCTGATGGATGAGTTTTGGTACCACACTGTGAGATCCCTACATGAAAAGCAAATTCCATGTACAGAGAAATATGTCTTGGTCTTCACTGTTTCCTTTCCTGCCAGGGGCACTTTGTCTGCATTGCATTGCTGTGTAACCTTAATTTTCAGAATATTTCCCTGGAAGAGTAACTAGGCATGTTGAGTTCTGGTTTTTTGTAATATGTTTTCTGCTTTTTTGGGGGGGATGGGGAAGGTGGAGGTTGATTTGGATTTGAGGTGGAGATGGAAAATTTTGTTTGGGTTTCTTTCTCTGTCTTCCTACACTGTACTAAATGAATGAAGAAAATGAAGTTGAAAATAGTCTGTGATTAAGGCTGCCAAGCCCAAAATCGAGGAAAGCAGCAAGAGAATTAATGTCAGTACTTGGGCCAAATGCAGCACTGCTTCCCTATGGATTCACTTTGGGTTTTGGGACCTCCACAGCTGAGTGCTGCCATCCTGGACGTGGACAAAGATGTTGAAAAAGCCAGTGGTCCTCTGTATCCTAAAAAAATGGCAAAGTGGGGGAAATGGCCAGATTAACCTCTGGGGGGAAGGAGGGGTGATGAGGTGATCCCAATAATTCCTTAGCTCCAAAAAAAACCAGTAATGAGCCTTTTCAGGGTGCTCCTGAGTTATCCTACATTGGACATCCAAAAGGAAAAATTCCTGGCTATTTCTAACCCTGGCCTGACTCCAAGTGCTTCCCACCCTGCATCTGCCAGAGGTCCTGTGGCCACATTAGCAGGAGCCTGTCAGGAAGCTGCTCTGCTTAGACTTGCTGAATTATTGGACAATAAGGAAGATAATGAAGCAAAAAAATTCCAGAAGAAAACTGCCTTCGTGCTGGTGGCAGGCAGAAAGATTTCTGACCTCGAGGTTGTTTGCATTTTACTTAATTAGCTCTAAGCCCCATAAAACTGAAGAAAAGTGAAAATAATCTTTTTTTTTTTTTAGGGTGTGTAGCTTGTGCTGAGGACGAGCAATGCATAGGGTTTGTTTTCTAATGCTCCTCTTGGCCCTTTTTCCGCCTGTGACCTTGAACAAAGTGCTTATTCTCTGCATCCACTCATGTAAATAAAGTAATTTCTGAGTTTTGTAGATTAAAGCTTTTAACAGCCAGATAAAGCGTTTCCCGGTCTCTGGAGGGTGAATTTTGAAGGAAGAACAGGGCACTGCTCCCAGTGTTATTTTTATGGATGCCACAGCTTGTTCCAAAACTGATGCAAGTCACCGGGACTCGCGTTACTGACCCCAGCCGTGAAATGCTGGAATTAAACTCTTCGGAGAGCCAGAGGCACTCAGATCCAACTGCAGAGCCCAGACAGGGTTAGTTACAGCACAGAGAGCTGTCACTGAGGACGTTTAACTTGGATCTCTTTATTCCCAGCTTTTTGATTAAAGAGAGCCCTTCCTCCCTGCCCTCCCCTCCCGCTGCGGTTTGACGCCCACTCCGGGGAGAGGGAGATGTGATTTGGGAGGTGGCTGCGCCGTTCCCGGCTCCTGGGAGCTGAGCTGCGAAAGAATTATATTATTTGGAATGTTGGGAGCGTTTTTCCGTCTGCCAAATGTTGCTTCTGGGTACCAGACACTGCCTGGGGGAGGCTGATAAACTAATTTCTCTCATTTCCCGGGCTCTGGTTATGAAACTGCCAC